TCGCACCCTCAGGAGGTCCGTGGGTCCCTCGACTAGGTAATGTACTTCTTCTTCGACCTCCATTCTAATCGACCTTCCGACCTTTAACCAGTGTACTATTTACGAGACAGACCTTTTTAATGCCGTCCACATAGAGGCCACTATGAAGCTTTTATAAAATGGAGATGAGAGCATTTGGTTTGAATTTAGCGACGTGTGATTAAATTCATTTGAAAGCAGAGACAGAATGTCTTTTTTTATTGCCCTCCTTATGTGATTAGGACATTAAAGGACTAGTCTATAAAAAAGGGATGCGTACCGATCAGGCGAGTAGTCGATTAGGCGACCACTCGCGTGTAATAATGGACGTACTGATTAATTTCCTTCGCCCACTGAGCGATCGCCTAATCGCCTAATCGCCTCATAACATACGATCGCGAACTATGAACGCTGCCTAACAACGATGTCGCGTGCACCGCTGATGGACGAATAAACCAATTCACTAATCGACAGACACCTTTCATGGTAGGTCGCAGCGCATTTATCGAGTTTAGCCGCAACTATAGACAGTGATATTTCACTTTTGCTTTACCTTGTGCCAGTCATTGTCCACACGTCGTAAGTTTGATCAGCTGTTCCTGAGTTTTCGATCATTCCATCGTCGTCAACGTCCCAGTCCTGTAGGGCATTACGAACAATTATCTCGCTTTTGTTGTAGAAGTACTGGAGGATTTCCTCCGCCTGAATAGAGAAACATGAAACCTAGTCAGGAGCAGCCGTTATAAAGCCAAAGTTTGGAAAAAAATACAATTCAACACTTACATCTCGAGGCTTGAAGTACTTTTCCACTATCAACTTATAATCTCGCCAGCAAGCAAGTACGAATTTGAGGTTGAGATCTCGCCACATTGCTGTATCGTGCAGTATGTAGGAGTTTGTTTGCACCCATGGTTCGCCATCTGTAATGAGCTAGCTTTACCATTAGTTGAAGTGTAAAACATAACCTTCTCTGCAACGACAAATTCTCCAATTTCGCTGAATAGCTCTTTCGTGGTGCTGTATTGTTAATGAGGAAGACCCACATGGCTGTCCCAAGTCGTGAGGTATACGATATTTGGTTTTTATTTCCATCTTCGTGCCCTCACACAAACTGGTCGCTTTTCTGCTGTCCTTGCGATTCAACTGATCGCCTAAACGTAAGCCATCATAAAATTATACAAATGTTCAGAAATCATAGTAGCCGTAAGCATCGATGATATTTGTGCAAATTTAAATGAGCCATGAATAATTTAGCTGGAAGCGTTCCAATGCGGATCAACCCTTCAACTGATCCGCATCGAATAAAGCTTTGATGTGTATGTGCAATGTTAATATTAGGCTGTGAGGAATGTTTCTGCAGTTTCTGACCTTGGAATTCAAATATGCATATCGCGATTCAAATACAACGTTCTCGTTCAAGCTAAGAACCACTACAATCTACCTCCCTTGCCAACACTGATTGAGTTTAATCAGCTTGCTCGGTGGAAGTTCTGAGTTGCAGAGGCAATAAACTCGACGAGGGTCGTTTCACCATCAAGTAAGGTTTCGTAGCATTTCTCGTTTAAGAGCTATGCGGACGGTCAAAAAAGTAGCAGGGAATAGGGAAGAGGTCTAGTGAATCAGTCGCTTGGGGCATAATTTAGAACTTCAGCTAATTCAATTTTGCAGTCGATTCTACGGTCGGTGACTGAAGTACAGCTCGGAGAAGCGTTGGACCTATGACGGCTCTGATTGGCTTTCGGCTCTGGTTCCTAACACCACGCTAAGAGTGCTGTCTCGCCATAACAGTACCAGAACTTGCGAAGTCTGTTTCGCGGCCTGTGCCTGCTGCAGGCCGCGAAACAGACTTCGCAACTTTATCCTCATGCGATTTCATTGCAAATTTTGTCAACCATTGTCGTTATTTAGACACACGACCGAGGTTCGAGGGCTGTTTAGGAGAACCCATTCTGCATTGCACATCACCACCCAAACAAAAACAGGTCATTTTCATTGGACGAAAATGGTAGTAGAGCACTGAACTCCGGGAGCGCGATTTTCGCTGCACCCCACTGTAGAATTTCCCAGACTTTTCAATCTACATACATCCTACGACCGAAAATGACAAATCTGTTATGCGTGCCAGAAGCAGCTCTCGCAGCACTTCTGAGCATATGGTTCCATCAAATCCTCTCCAACTGATCTTACCAATGTTCCTAACGCCCACGAGCCGATCTCACCACCTTCGAGGCTCTTACCATCCCTACACAAGCTTTCCAAACTATCACTGCCCAAAAAAATTCGTTAACACGAGCACAAATCAATAATTCATGAGCTGCTTCCGCTTCGAGTTAGGAAAAGAAAACCGTGCGGAGCTGTTCGCTACACGTTGTATTCAAGGCTTTGAAAAATGGAGAACGTAACGTGCCACCATGCTAATAACAACGCAGTTGTATCACCTGTATCACCTGTCGTCCCGTTGATCATCGAATTGCTCGAGCGGGCGCCAGCAACGTCTCCATTCGTCCCTGTCGCGTGCAAGAGTTGTCCAGTGGACCCTCCTCGCTCGAGGGACACGGTGTTCTTCATTCCTTTCGTTCAGAGCTTTCGTGAAGAAGTCTGACCATCGGGCCGGCGGTCGTCCAGGTGTTCGTTTGACGTCCCGAGGGATCCAGTCGGTAACCGCTCTGGTCCAACGGTCATCGCAAAATCGCATGACGTGTCCGGCCCACCTTATCTTCGATTCCTTGGCGAAAACGGCAGCGTCCCTGATCTTCGATCGTTGGCGTAGTTCGGCACTCCGGATTCCCCTCTGCACTTGCGTGTATAGGGTTACTCCTAGCATCGTCCTCTCGACAGCGCGTTGGATAACGCTGACCGCATGCTCGTCCTGCCTGCGCAGAGTCCAAGTCTCTGAGGCGTAGGTTAGGGCAGGAAGGACAGCGGAATCGAAGAGGTGGGCACGGAGCCGGATGTTCTTCGTCTTCTTCACTACTCCCTCGATGTTCTTATACGCTCCCCAAGCCGCTCGTTTCCTCCTGCTCAGCTCTGGAGCTAGATCGTTCATCATATTGATTTCCCGACCTAGGTACACGTAGCTGGAGCATTCGGTGATGTTCGTTCCGTTGAGCGTGAATGGGGCATCAGGAACCAATCCGTTTCTCATAAACATCGTCTTCGTTAGGTTCAGCTGTAGACCAACCTTACCACAGGCGCAGTCGAAATCAGCCAGCATTCGCTCCGCTTGCTCGATGTTCGGCGTTATAAGAACGATGTCGTCAGCAAAACGAAGGTGGTGTAGTTGCCGGCCGTCGACCTTCACTCCCAGGCAGGGTGAATATCGGTCGAGGAAATCCTCGACAGGGGGGTCGTACCTGTTGGGCTGGTCCATGGGGGGTCGTACTCTTGGGGTCAGTAACAGAAGTGGTATCATGGTGCAGATAGGTAATAGGGTATAGCGCAGCAGAAAATGAAAACATCCGAAAAAAAACATGATATTAAATTTTCTTTGCAGGTTCAGTCGCTCCATTCCTCCACCTTCATGAGAAGGGCGTATTTGAAGGCAGTACAAAGAATGAAAGTGCATCCCCGCAAAGAAGAGTGCCACATGTGCGCACGCGCTGCAAAGGCACCTCCTCCGCCTATCACTCGCTCCTTCTCCCTTAATACCTCGCTGAGAATGACGCTGTTGTTAGGGACCCTGTCGGAAAAACGACAACCGTGAAGAAAAAGCGCTGGGCAAATGAAGTTGTTTTTAGGTTACAGGAATAGCACAACACACTATGTCTACTACAATACAGTTTCGTTCGAAGGTCCCCATCATATAACACCTTTCAATCGATTCTGCAACTGTGAGTGGAGGAGGGATGCATGGCTTATACCAATACCAAATCGGATGATGACGATTGCTCCTATTCTTATTGTTTGCGTTCAAAGATATTGTTCTAGACACATTCCGAGTGTTGCCAACGAGTCACACTTGCAATGGTGAATGAGGGAGCGGATTTCCAGGTGGCCGGATCCGACCTCGATAGATCCTCGACGCAATTATCTCTTCAACCAAAAAGCTGTAGAAGAAAACTAAACAGACCATCAGGAAGCGCAAACCTTCCGCTTTCCAAAACTATCTTCCCTTTTTCAGGATCTTACAATATAAGAGATATATTGCTCTTGAAGTGGCAAAACACTCGCGTGAAAATTTCGGCCTCCTCGACATTTACTCGACGAAATTTGACAGACCCTATCTTTCTGCAAGGAAGGCTTCCAGAGCAATTTCGATGCTTGTTGGAAACGCGAAATCCAGCTCTATCTAACTCTACCTCAAGCTGCTTCAAAGGTTGTGAAATGGAGGAATGCAACCTTTTCATCGAGGGTGTAGATTCGGACGTTTTTTTTGAAATTTCGGCAAATCTGACCCAGTGACAATCGCGCCGCAGCTGCCGTTGAATCGGCCTTTGATACACTCGGCTGTTTTGATATACTCAAGCAAGAATCAAGATTGAATCGCAACCCCGTGTCTTCAGGATTTCTGTGCGTTTCTGAACGAACCTCGCCTTGAGGTCACACAAAGTTAATGCCTCTTTCCTCGAGTCGATATTTCAGTATGTACACAAAAGTATGCAGCGATGGAAGACGTGCATAGATGACAAGATGAAGCGTCCTTAGCATTATTTTGCAGAATTTTTTTTGATTGTTTTGATTTTTTTTTGATTTTTGTTTTGCAGGATTTATTTTAATTGAATTAATTTGCTCTGTTAGAGGGGGTCGTGCCAGGATCTCGATTTCGGGGGGGGGTCGTACCTCTGCGACCACGTACTCGACACGATTTTCACCCTGCTCCCATGTCTTCCCATTCCAGTTGACGCATGACGTTCTCGAGAGCGGCGCTGAAGAGTTTGGGCGAGATGGTGTCGCCCTGTCGGACCCCTCTCTTGACGTCGATGATGACCTCCTTGTAGAATGGTGAGATTCTGGTCGTAAAGTTGCTGTAGAGCTCACGAAGAATCTTGATGTACTGAGTAGGGACGCCCTGGTTGCCCAAGGCTTCGATGACCGCTTCTGTCTCCACAGAGTCGAAGGCCTTCTTCAAGTCGATGAACGTGAGACAAAGCGGCATCTTGTACTCTCGTGAAACTTCAATGAGTCTTGTAACCGTGTGGATATGGTCGATCGTGCTGAACCCTCTTCGAAACCCTGCTTGCTCGCATGGCTGTCCTTCATCTAGTATTCTGCCGATCCTGTTAAGGATGACTCGAGTGAATAGCTTGTAGATTACAGACAGCAGGCAGATTGGGCGATAGTTGCCAATGTCGTCCAGGTCTCCCTTCTTGTACAGCAACACGGTCCTGCTGGTTTTCCACGGAGTGGGTACCTTGCATTCCGACAGGTAGCGCGTGAAGAGTCGAGCCAGAGTTTTGATGATGACTGGCGGCGCATTCTTCAGATGTTCCGGTTTGACCCTGTCGAGACCGGGTGCTGTACGATTCTTCACCGACTTGATGGCGTGTCGGACTTCGGAAGAGAGTACTTGAGGGAC